TTGTGCACAAATGTTATTGTCATTCCTGTAAACGCCCCCTTAAAACTTTTCAAGTCTTTAAGTTGGTTGTTCGCAATATATGCTGCTCATTAAATGCTCAACAGGGTGTATGATCAGAAATCCGAATCTCCTGGCAGGCAACTCGATTACTTCAGGACATCTGAAACGAAACGAAACGAATATGCAGAAATACTATGCCAGTAATTTTGAGTGAATATGCAGTGATCAGCAAAATTAGGGGAGCAGGTGATTTAGTGAATGTAAATAACTGCTAGTAAAATGTACGTTTGTACATATTTACTTATTAGTTATCTATAAATAAAGAAAATAAAGCATTGAAAAAGTGAAAAATCCTGTTTCAATGTAGACGAAAGACATTTTTAGGAAACTCACTCCAAAAATCATTTCTAACTAGGACTTTTGGAGAAGAAAAAATAGTCATTGACAAACGTTATCAGTCGTTTGTGACATCGAGCGGTAAGTCGCTGAACACTGGTAGTTCGGTCCCAGATTCGAATCCCGCGAACGGGCTGGCTGCATGGGCGTTTCCGTGGTTTTCCCCATGTGTAATGTGTATACGAGTCAGTGTCCCTTAGAAAGTCCTCCACGAAGGTATCCCTTCCCTTAGACAGATAGCTCTCGAGGCTTTGCCATAATCACATACACACACACGTTTGTGACATAAGGCATGTGGATGTTTCAAAACGGCAAGACGCATTGACATTTGTGAGATAATATCATGCAACGAGTGTGCTGCAACCCTCGTAACCGATAATAATCGGTCTCGTGGTTAACGCAGCACACCCAACACAGATTAAAACAAAAAATGCAGTTCAAATCATCAAACCAAAATTCCCAGTATTATGCTATTGCCATTTATAATGTTTATCAAATCCTTTTCAAATCTAAACTCTTTCCTGAGGCAATAGAATTCCTTTATGTTACCATGTTTTTCCCTAGCTTGTCGCAATAATATACAGTCTTGATTGAAATTTCTTGCCTTCAGCACTACAAAAATTACAAAGACTGTTATTTTTCAAATTAAATCTTTTCGGCTACGCCGGGAAGCGCCCGTGTCCAGTAACTATTTGATCGTAATCAAAATCACATATAATTCTCATATTTTTAGAAGCTTCAAATTTCAAAAAAAAAAAAAAAAAAAAAAAAAAAAAAAAAAAAAAAAAAAAAAAAAAATCCTTTTTTCTGAAATGTTCCAATTTCTCTTTCCAACAATCATAATAAATTTCCTTGATTTTGCCAATAACAATTCTTTTCGATGCCTGAATATCGAAAGCATCCCAAGCATTACCCATAGCAGCCTCTTTGGCCAGCATGTCGGCCCTCTCATTGCCTATAACAGCAATGTGGGCTTTCACCCAGTTCATTTTCATTTCATGTATTTTCTCAACTTTTACAAGATCTTTACGAGACCAAAATTTTAGTGTTATCAGAATCTGCTAGTGCTTCCAAACAAGATAATGAGTCTGTATGTACACTGACGAAAAAAAAAATCCCAACACTAAGGAAAAACTATTGTAGAGTAATGAAATTTGGATAATACATTTGTCTAGTTAACATGTTTAATTGATTAAATTTTCAAAATCAAGAACTTGCATTTCACATTTGAAATGCTGTTACATTAATAGCCGGTGTAACCTCCAGAATTTGAATGCAAGCCTGCAAACGTGCAAGCATTGTATCATAGAGGTGCCGAATGTTACTTTGTGGTATGGAGTTCCATGCTTGTTGTACTTGTTCTGTCAATACTGAGACGGTCAGTGCTGGTTGTGGATGATGCTGGAGTTGCCAGTGATATCCCATTACGTGCTCAACTGGAGACAGATCTGGTGAACTCGCAGGACAAGGTAACATGTCGAAACTCTGTACAGCACGTTGCGTTACAACAGCGGTATAGGGGCAAGCGCTATCCTGTTAGAAAACTCCCCCTTGTTTTTCATGAATGGCAGCACTACAGATTGAATTGACGCACAAATTTGCAGTCAGTGTTTTTGGGATAACCATGAGAGTACTCCTACTGTCATAGTAAATTGCTCCCGAGACCATGACTCCAGTTGTAAGTCCAACGTGTCTAGGCCGCAGACAGTTTGGTTGCAGACTTCCCCTGGTCTCCTTCCGACCAACACACCGGCTGTCACTGTGACCAAGATGTTATTTTGATTGTGAATAGATATTATTTTGAATTTATTGTTGCTAATTTGCATTAGAACTGCTATCTGAAGATATCTTTTAAGATTCGACTATTCTTTCCGTCTGTTCAAAAACATTTCAGTCCATTCTTTTTCTTGTAACTTTTTTAGCCAGTTAAGATAAGAACTAGATATGTGTGAAAAGAATGGGTTTGGGATAACAAGACTTTCAGATCCTCTTACAGATTATATTTCTGGTCCAGATAAGAAGTTTAAGTGCTTCGCAACAAAGAAAAACTACAGAAACTAAAATGTACGTCTGTCACAGACATTTTTTTTTTATCTTTAATATTTAAAATTACTAGCTTTATCAAGTGGGATACGTTCTGCTTCAATTTAAAAGCATAACGTAATCCAGCAGAAAACTCTAAAGCCATAAAAATGCAATGAGATGGAGGATCATTAATAAAAACTGAAGTCTTTAATTGGGAAATTAATCAAGATAACTCTGTTTGAAATACTCACTTCCAATAACATGGGTTCCATAACATAGGTCTAGACAAAACTTTTATCATCTGAGAAACTGAAAATTCACTTATTTCAAGCAAAGCACATTAATATATACACTAGTGTGAAAACCTTAAGCAACAAATTCATTTTTCGACATTCAGCAATGAAACTGCTGAAAAAGGTTTTTGAGATCAGTACAATGAAAAGCCAACTCATTAAAAAGGTGCAAATATTTGCACCATGACGTCAGAGGATACTTCAGCACACGCAGTGTAAAGCAACTTAAAGCAAGAAAGGAAGACTCATTTCCAGACATTCTTCTGCGGTTTAACTTGAGACTAAACTTGAACTTGCTACAAGAAAACATCAGGATGACCCTAGACGCGTTACAACGATTGGCAAGTTTAAGGAAGGGCAAAGATTAACGTCTGCTGTCCAAAAGTTTAAAACAGAAAACAAACTGTCGTTTCACGAACTTGAAAAGTATTCCAAACGACAGGTATAGCTGTAAGAAAGGTTGGTGTTGATCGGCAAGGTAAACGGCAAGTTTCGGTGACGATGACCGATATATCGTCTTGAAGGCGAAAAGAGTTCGAAACCAGAGAGAGGGCAATACTGATCTGCAGTTGTGTTCGGCAATCGGACAACAGATGTCCCAGGTTACTGTGGCCAGACGACTTCATAGAAATGGTTTGCGTTACGATTTGACAGTCGTTCTGAATGCTTCATACCATTGACAGCAGCCCATTAGCGACATCGTTTACAGTCGTGTAAAGAACACAAAGACTGGATACCTCATCAATGAAGTCGCGTCCTCTTTACCAATGAGAGTCGTTTCAGTCTGATAACTGATTCTAGCCCCCAGTTGATATGGAGAGAGGTAGGATAACATCAGGCAGAGACCATCGGGGTGTTTCTGGTGTGCTTGTATGGGGAGAAAATATAATGAGCGGACAAAAGAAGCTTCACATTTTTGACAGAGGTTCATTTACCGAAGACTATTACCGTGATGAAGTTATCCTCCCGCATGCCTGTTCTAAGTGGTGCCATTGATCCCAGCTTTTTTTTTAAGGATGATAATGCACGATTACACAGAACTCATGCTGTCGAGGAGTTACTGAAAAGTGAAAACTATCCACACAATAAATTGGCTGGCGTGCTTCCCCGATTTAAATCTCGTTAAACATCTATTGGATACTTTAGTAAGACACCTGGCGGCACGATCTTACCCTCCGGAAAACACCAGACAACTTACACAGATACTTATTGAAAAATGGAAACCTCTTACCCAATAACTGTTAGAAATCTGGTTCAAAGCATCGACTGAGGGTGCAACGCAACTATTGCGGTTAGGGGAAGTCATATTCCTTACTAAGGTTCTTTGACTTGTTATTCTCCCTCTTAGCCAAACAGTTTTTTATACCAACGCCCTTCTATCAATAAAACCTTTCTCTATTTGTTCCATACTCTATGCACCCTATTTAGGTTTTTACTACTGTAATTTTCTCATCCTTCAAGTACTACATTGTGGCTGTATTGTGAATTTCATGTACCCCAATTGAATATTTGCGAAATTACGCCAAAATCAGAGAAGTTGCTTAAATTTCGCACACTAGTGTATCTGCACAAATATTTTTCACAGGTTTTCATGAATTAATCTTCAGTTTTATCTGAGTAATATTTAAAGAATCGGCAAATGAATAATTTTGTACTTTTGAAATTGGAAATGTTTATGTTTACTTTTGAAATTTGGAAATGTTTATGTTTTCAATTCATTCAATGAATGAAATAGATGTGCAGTGCCATAAAATAATAACTAAAGATCAAAACACTTTAATCGCGAGTACACGCAGTGAAGTACTATATGTAATCTGTTTTTGCTTCGAAAACCAGAGAATTTTGTTACAAAAATTTGCTTCAAATATTTGAATAAATATTGTTATTCAGAAATATTATTATCCACATCTTGAAAGCAGCTCATATGGACGTTATATTTTGCGTAACATGCATGCATTTAACTTTGGTATATTAATTTAATTTTCACTGGATATCTTAAGCGAAAGAATCATTGCAATCTTTTAGTTGTGTTTATGACTAAGCAGAACAAATGTAGCAAGAAAGCAAATTGAATATAATGTTATGAATCCTAGAGGACATTTCTGATGCGCTTAATCAAACTTAGATGTTCAAGACATTGCTGCATCATCAAGATACTATAAAGAATAAACGCTATGTTATAACCACGGTTGGTGATTTAAAATAAATCTTGGACGATGTTCTACTCTTCAATTGTTTCTATACTCTACGGTGCTGTCAAATCGATTTCCTTTTTCTTCATATTAGGCAAAGAAAAAGAAAAAGAAAGACGACAATCTGCAGCTGCAGCTGAAGTTACCCTCAGCATGTGTGCAGATGCCGGAAAAGTGGACCGAGCTAAATTAAGTCAAACAGAGGTTTGATTGTTTACTATTTTTTAAACCAAATTTAATGATTAAAGTTATTAAATAAACTTAACTAACTAATATATGTTTGGATAAATTTATTAAATTGCTTTGTTTTACAAATATAATATGTCTTACGCCGCTCAGACGGTACAGTGGTTATGGAAGCCTACTTGCGGTACCGAAGGGCCGAGTTTGAATCCTGGAGAAAGCATGGATGTTTGTAAATGTATAGCGTCTTTGCAGCATGGGAGGCACTCTAAATATATGACGAGCCGAAAGTCCTCTCGTGTGGTTTCATGGTAGGGGAGAGGGGTGTGAGCCCCTAGAGCACTACCCTAGGGTGCACTCTCTCAAATGTGGGGTGGAAGTAGAAGTCCAACCTCCTTGATTGCAACTAATCTTCCATGAAATATGGACTCGACAACAAAAAAAGCAATACGGCTTACAATGCTATAGCCGATATATATAATAAATCCATTTCTGGATGATTCAATGAATTTTAAGGAATAATTGCACGAAGAACTTTAAACAATTTCCCGAAACTCTGACTGTGTTGCGTATAGCCCGACGCCGCGTTACTATTCTTAAAATTCTATTGAAATATATCCTTCCAACTCTTACATTTGGTGTGCCAAAATTCATGGCAGTAAGTTTACAGGTAAAAGCTGTAAACAATCATATTGGTTGTTAGTGTTATCTACTGGACTCCTAAACATCTTGGCAAATGTTTTAAACCCAGTTTGAATATCCAGTATTCGGAACTCGACAAATGGGGCCATAACATTTTGAAAGTTCTTGAGGTTTTTAAAATTTCTCACTCCATGGTGTAAACCGCTTTACCGCGTTATCTTCCAAACGGGACAGCGCTTTGAAAGCCATACCTCTTGAATAATCTAAACCAGCGATTTTTCAGCAGAAGCTTTATGCTAATAAGCAAACTATATTGCATAACGTCACCGCCATACCGTCCCTTATGGTACACGCTAGATTTGTGTCAGTGAGGATAGTGCAGCGGAATTTGGTGTTGATAAAATATGCCAGCAAACCATTAAACTGATTGCTTAATTTCTTCTAAGCTCAGCGTCGGCTTCGAAGCCTCATCTGGGCTTGCGAGCTTGCGTCGGACACTAGAGTATTAAAAGAAAGCAGATCTGGTCCGACAATTCATGTTTGCAATTGGTACCAGCTGATAGTCGGGTTCGAATTAAGCACAAACCCCATGAGGCTATGAATTCATCTTGGCAACAAGTTATTTGCAGATTTATTGTTATAGAACATATCTATCTGGCATGCATTATGTTCTCTAGTCAAACTGAACCAGTTCTTGATAGGAAATCACTATCATATCATATTAAAAGTCCATCAAATTAAAGCTCCAGATGATTACTCATCTGGAGCCCTTTAGGGACTTCACGATTCCCAATAATGGTGAGATGCTCGAGGATGAAAATTCATTGTGTCATAAGACTCAGATTGTTCACGACTATTTCTAGCCAGCATTCTGGACATTTCCAACACATGATCTGACCACATAGCTCGGCAGACATGAGCCTCGTAAAGCATATTCGGGATATGACAGACATGGCCATTCGTGCACAAGATCAAGCATTTTCCACAACCACGCAGTTATGAGCAGCTATTGATATAGCATTGTTGAATATCCCTCCTGGGCACTTCCGTCAACTTGTTGAGTTGATGCTATATTGAGTTGCTACATTCCATATGGCTAAAGGAGGCTTCGTAGAATATTAGAGGTGTATTCTTTTTGGCATGCCATTGTATGTAGGACATAAATTTTTCAGCATTACATTAACATATAAAGATAGAGAATTCTTAGCTTATATAGAATGTAATAAGAATTAATCGTAATTCCGGATTTCCTAATAATGCTTTTTATTTATTTTCCAAAAGTTTTGGTTCATGAAATATGCATATAATAAATGTGATTCATGCAAGTATGTATCTCCTTTTCAGTTCAACATTATTGAATTCGATAGTGACACGTTTATGATTCTCATGGAGTATCTCCAAAGTGGTTCTTGCCCACTTACGTGTGAAACAATTCCGGGTCTTATCTGTGCAGCTGAACATTACGATCTTCCAGAGCTTCTACAGGCATGTTTCCATCATGCCAAACAGCATTTTCGATTGTCCGTGGTAAGATCCTTTGCAAAATGTACATTTCTTTCTTTATAAATGGTTTGAAACTTAAATCTCCAAAACTTCTCGTGGAAACAGGTCAGTTATATTCTGGAATTCTGATATGTCTTTATAAAATACTGTATACATATACTCGTATAAATCTTAGGAGTTTATTCAGAATTTGTATGGGAAAATTTCTCGCATAACATTTCGAATGATAGGTATTTTATGCAGACAAAATGTATTCTAAATTGCGCAAAGCCCTTTTCTGTAGACTTAAAAGTTGAAATAGGCCGCACGTATAAAGAATGCTTTATAACTTCAGGTGTACTCCAAGTGGCTTATACTACAATATACAGAATTATCATAAAAAACATGAATTTTTCAATAATTTATAAACAAAAAGCACAGTACTAGATATCGCATTCAAGCCTAAAGAGGTTATTCCGTATAAGTATGAAATTTCCAGAAAATTAGGAGGGACCGTATGAAATTTCTTCCAGCCATTTCATACGGTCCCTCCTTCTTTTCTCGAACGACTATCATTGGAAACTCTTTTTCTCATTATGCTAAGTTTCTGACTGATGTCACAGTTGAAGGAGGAAGTTACATCTTCATTCTTCTATATGAAAAGCTACCACAACGGCATATTGGTATAAGAGATTACCCCGATGAATATGCACTCTGTCCAATAAATTAGAAAACCAAGGTCAATATTTTGTTGGACAACCTTTCGCACAGATAACTGCTCTGATTCGTTTAGGCATCGAGTCTACATACTTCTGGAGTGAATTTACGTCCAGAAAATACCATACATTGGCTATGCAGCTTTTTAGATCTTGTAAATACGATGGAAGAGGTGAGTGCTGTCGGATGCGTCATTCAACTACATCCCATACATGTTTTATGGAATTAAGATCCGGGCTGGCTAGAGAAGGTGCTGGAAGTCAGACTGATGATCAACGAATCAATTCTTCTGGCACTATGTAAAATTACATTAACGTCCATGAAGTGTCCGTCACTATTAGGGTAAAAATGCAACAGCGCAGGGTGCACTTGATCTGCCATTATATCCAGGTATCTCATGGCTGCTTTTTTACCCTCGAGGAACACCAGGGCACCCCTTCCATGCCAGCAGAACATGCCCTATATCATGATACTCCTACCACACCATCTTGCGTTACTCGCACCACAGTGCGAGTAAGACAAGATGGCACTGTGGTGCGAGTTGATCTGTGTCACTTGAAGCACAGTAAAGTCCCTATGCTGCCGTACAATTCGTCGGAGACGCCACCGATCACTCTTTTGGAAAATTGTGCTCGAACCGCAGTTACGACTTCGAGACGACTACGAGAAGGACTTTGGATTTTTATTCCAACTCTTAAAAACCTTTGATATGGCTGCTTTTTAGAACCCAGTGAGATTTTCTGTCTTCAAAATCGAGGCCCTGCTAAACAGGCACTAACAATAAACCCTTTTTCAAATGATGAAAGATCTGTCGTTTTTCCCATTTTACGTCATTCATCGTGAAACGCACTCTTACATCTTTCTTATACTAAGATTCCATCATAAACAAATTTGCATACTCCTTTCCTAGAACGCATTCAAATGAAAATCTCAAAGGTTTCTAATTCATTGGACAGTGTGTGTATCTTTCTCAAAGGATGGACTTGACGGGCTACAAAGCATAACATACTACTCAATGTATGATTCCCCGAAAGTGCTGATTTAACCCACTGCGATTCTTTTCTTTAGGGGTACATGAAACACAAGGACTTTTGTGCCTTCCCTTTTTTTTTTTTTTTTTTTTTTTTTTTTTTTGTGTGTGTGTGTGTGTGTGATTTAGATAACAGATTTCTAACCTTTTTCTTTTATCGAGCCCTTTTTAATGAATAGTTTTCTTTATCAAATCCCTTACACTTTTTTCAGAAGTATACAGCACACGACGTAATCATAAAACAAATAATTGCACATAAATAACGTTAAGATTAATTAGATTAAAATTATGAACAAAATTTTAAAAAGCTTTTTTTATCAAATTTATGTTTTTTTTTTTTTTTTTTTTTTTTTTTTTTTTTTTTTTTCAAATATAAGGAAGTTTTCAGTAGCAAAAATCAACGGATTCTAATTTGCAATGAATTAGAAATCTAAATTTTTTAATGTTTAGCGTAAAATTGCTCGCTTCATAAATCACCTCTCTCAAGAATACTCAACCATGTTTTCCACAGTATATACTGGCTTGACTAAAGCTTACTTCCACCAGATACAAAAAGGAAAAAGTCGATGATGTTGGTATGGCCACAACTTTTATTTTGGGCTATTTCTGCAATATTACTTTTAAATTCCGACACGTAGCTTACCCAGACTTTCGCTTCAACATCCTTCTTTAATGCACTCAATTCTTTTTGCATCATAATCAAGGTCAGATGTGTCAGCTATTCTGTGAGCCATGCTGGCAAATTCAAATTTTCAATGTCTTGGAAGCGAATATTAAAATATTCTTTTAAATTCTTCAAATGGCTTGAATATAATAATATAGCTTCTGAAAAAGTACAATATTTTTCAATAACGGACAATCTAGGGGCAATCGCTTCTTTGTAATTTTTTGGTTGCGTTTTCTTGCATTCCTTTTACATTTTATGTTGCAATTAATGCGTAAAAAGTTTACACATTTTAAAATATATTAAATAATTTTAATGTCTTTTTCCTTATATTTATTTTATGTAATTTCTTTCTTACTACATGAATTTTAGATCTTACTCTCTGATTACTTATACTTCATTACTACTTTATATCAATAAGCAATTAAATATAAATTTTATTAATATATCTTTTAATTAACCGGATCTTTATTGTGGCGATCAGCTGGCGTTGCATACTCGATTATCGACTCCAAATCCACACTTTTATCGTCTTTAATCCCTTTAAAATGTTGTCGATCCCCAAGGAATCAACAGCGACCCATTGGGAACCCTCATTTAAATTAACTAAAACAACATTTCATAGACGTTACATCTGCACTCGACTCAGGTGCCTTAAGTCAGTTTCGCACAAGATGTATGTACTCTGTGTGCCCGAAGTTCGGTAGAACTTTTGAAACTGTTGCTATAAATTTAGATTTTCTGTACAAATTAATAAAAATTAATGTATAATAGTTCGTATTATACTTATTTTTTATAAATTATTGAAACTGCATTTTCTTTCATAATAAATATGCATTATTATTCTATTATCAATATTTTATGAAATCTAAACGAAGTTTTACTGTAGCTTGTTGACAATCATGCAAAGTTAAAATATTTAATTTCATGTATAATATTCTTATTTTAAATTCCTGATAAATTTCAGCAATAAGAGTCTATGCATCTGCGATTACAGATATTTATGTACAGTGGACGCTCGTTAATTCAAATCTTCTGTTAATTTTAACTAAACCAAAAGGCCCCCAAAACGTGTATTGGAATTAACGTTAAAAATATCTCATTAATTAGAACTAAATTTTTATCACTTCGGATAATTCGGACTAAAAATTCGACAAAAATTTCTTTTCTTCGTTAAACTGAGAAATTATACGCTGTACTTATTATTTTGTGCGTCAAAATTATCCATATTCTCTTTTGTATAAAGAGGCATTAGTCTGCATTCCTCAACTATTGCATTTCCACTAAACGTTAGTTATTGCTCGACTATTGCATTTCCTTTTATCAGTGCTTAATTGGAAAAACTCTCCGGTCTAACCTGTTTCCTTGGATTCTTTCGAACTCTCTATGATTGGGTCAGGATAATTATTTGTTATGAATTTTCTTAGAACTTCAGAAAAACCAGTCTTTACTAGAGATTCCAGAGGGTTGCGTCAGTTCAGAAAAGTTAATGTGCTCTAGTTTTTCTTCCTGAGTGTATGGTGTGAACGTGTAAAAAATCAGGATGTCTACACGTGAAAAGTACAAATCTCTAAAATTTGGAGACAAAGGTAGAAATTTTAAAGAAAGTAGAGCATGGCGAATGAAAAACAAAGTTAGCAGCTGTCTGTGGAATTAAAAAAATACCTTGTCAGCTTATTTGAAAAACAAGGAATCAATTTTAGCTTCATGGGGAAAATCTAAGTTTGTTAGAGGAAGGAAACGCATGAGAAATACGCCCAAGAAGATCTAGAAAAAGCTCTATTGCTATGGTCCCAGGAGGCTACAGCTCTAAATTTTCTTATAAATGGACCCCAACTACAGATGACAGCTCATGAATTGGCAACTCAAAAGGGTGATGAAGATTTCAAATGCAGTGATTGATAACTTTCTCCATTTAAATCAAGGCATAATATTTCTTATTAAACTGTATGTGGCCAAAGCTGTGATGTAAACGAAGACGTATGCACTAATTTCGGTAGGAAACTGCCAGGTCTTTTCTCTACATGCCGAAAGATATTTTTAATGCAGACAAACGGCATTTTTTTTATAAACTCTTGTCAAACAAGACATTACATTTTAACCCTTTGCGGCACAGTGTGTCCGGTCTTGGACTCACCTAAAAATTTCCTTCTTTACGCACAGAAAAAATTGAATGAAAAAGGATGTATAAGTTACTATAGGTTACTCAGAACCTTCTTTATTTATAGTAGATGGCAGCTCAGCACAAACCAGTCCATATATTACAGCCATGTTTAGTTTTTTAAGACCCTCATTTTTCAAAGAAATCTTCCAGATTTTTTTAGGGTATAAAAGGAATTGCTTGAAAAGAAATTTCTATGTTATTTTTTTGGTTGTATGCTAATCTCTTTATTCTATATTAGTTTTAAATTTTTACCTTGAAATATTGCCTAAAATCAAACGGCGAACCCTAGGTATGCCTAGACCGGGCTCACCGATAATCTAGGACAACTGAGAGTCTGTATTCTTTGTTTCTCCGCATCTCATCTGTCAGTTCATTGACAACAATGCTCGTTTCAGCACTCTTTTCGAAGCTCTATTCAATCAGTGTGCCCGCTTCGGCCACACCCACAGAAATAAACAATATGTGCTATCTTCACAAAATTTTATTTGTGTACTCCTCTAGGTCTCATTAGACTGCCTATCTTTTTTGTTTTTTAATCAAAACCCCCAACTTTAAAAGGTAGCGGGCCGTAAAGGGTTAAAGTGGATGCTTACGTAGGAGGGAAAAGCAGTAAACAGAGAATTACTGCTTTAGTTTGCGCTAATATGGATGGAAGCGAAAACCTTAAATTATTGGTAATTGCAAAGTCCAAGAATCCACTGTGTTTTAAAAGAATTCGAAAATTGCCACTTGATTATGTGTCCTATACAAAAGCATGGATGACACGAAATATCTTCAGTAACTGATTAAAAGTAACAGATAAGCAGTTGTCTAAGATAAAGCGTAAGATTATCTTATTTATGGATAACGCAACCTGCCACAGTAACCTTTCAGAACTGATTTCCCTACATAGGTTGAATATTTTCAGCCAAAAACAGCTGCGAAGCTACAACCAAGAGATCAAGGAATCATCCAAAATCTTAAAACAAATTATCGTAAAAGTCACTTACAACGCTTTTTTTCTTTAGATCGTGGTGAAAACTGCGAGATTACGCTGCTGACAGCTATAAATGATCTATACGGCGCATGGAATGCTGCTATAAAAAGCACAATTAGTAACTGCTTTCGTCACGCTAAATTCATGCACACAGAAGAGAACAATCGTATCCAAGAATGGGAGAATACTGATACAGCTTTCCCTGAATTCACGAAATTTATAAGGTATTTCTCCCCCTTTCCTAGAGAGTTTTCGTGGGGTAGTGGTCTGCACGCTGAGCCGGTATTCCAGAGGTCCGTGGTTCGATTCTCGGCGAAGGCGTTGCTAATTTTTCATCTTGCCTGCTTCCAAAAAAAAATCCTAATGTCTCTACAAATTTAAATGTGATAACACTTCTTTTTACTTTTTCTGATTATGTGAGGGTAGATGAAGACTTGGGAGTCTGTGTAAAACTGAACGATGAAGACATAATAAAAAATGTCCGAGAAGATGGTAAAGAAGAGATTTTATCGGATTCAGAAGAGAATGCAGAGACTGTTAAGCGTCCTATTGATCAAACCATAATGGACTCTATAAAATCTCTGAAAGCTTTTATTCAAATTGAACCTTCCTCTGAAAAAGAAATAAAATGTTTACTTCAAATCGTGAAGCTGACTGAAAAATAAAATCAAACATCCGTTTTACAGTTTTTTCCAAAAGTGTAATTCATATTTTAAATTACAATTTGTTTACTTACTACTGCATATCTTTTGCTTCTTTTTATGATTAAGTTAAGTCTTTATTGCTCCTTAATATGTTTAATTTTAGATAGCATAGTATAATATATTTTCTGTGGTTATATATACTGGGAGATTTTTCGTCTTCAGTGCTGCACTTTTAAAGTTATATTTTCCTCTTGGCATCGGGTAATTCAAATTCTTTTCTGAGAACCTTTGAGTTCGAATTAACGAGCGTCTGCTGTACCTTATTAGCTCGCACAAAAAACATTTCTTCTTCCAAGTGGCCGTCTGAAAACCATACCCGTCTTTTATGTTCAACCCAAACTTCAAAGAATATATGAAAAGAATTCTTTAAGAGCCTTTAAATTTGAGTCAAACATTGTATTTACTTAAGTATAGTGTATTGTATTTACTTAAGTAACATTGTATTTACTTAAGTACATTGTATTTACTTAGTTTTACTTTGAAGTATAGTGTTTATACTACTTATTTATCTTTCTTGCAGAGCACGTTCAGTAGATCCAGCTCCTATATGAATCTATCTTATATGCAATCAATATTTCTTTCCTTGAAGAATAGTTTCGAAAATTTAGGGTCGTCTCATATGAGAAGCTATTTTATATTTGAGCAAATGTATTATATATACATATGTAAAATAAAAATATGTAAATCAAAATTCCGACCTTAATTTGCAATATTTCCTTAACTCTCCATTTTAATTTGGGCATTTCCTTTTTTCTGTCCTAAAATAGTAACTGCTTATAATAAGTATTTCTAAAGTGCGCTTTCAAAATTAATTTATGTCATAACCTTGCATGATGCTAATGATGTCTTTCATAAATGCTTTAGCCAATAATAATTTTAAAAGTTATTAATTAACCAATCAAAATAAAGTTAAGCCAAAACCAAATCATTCTGAAGAGGGATTTCATCTTAAAATGTCATATTCTTTCTCTGTTTCTTTATCTAGCTAGACTGCTGCCCACTGTTTCTATTCGTACCGCAACATCTTCGAAATCGTGAAACTTTCTTTAAGAACATGAGAGTCTTTTGCGCCACTTTATTTCAGCCTTTATTACTCTTGGAATCTTAATATATCAAGATTTAAATCATATACACATAGAGTCATTAGGTTTGTCTGTGCAGGAGACCTGAAAAATGGGTAGTGTCGTCTGCCAGTTCGAACGTTGGACCTCCCAACTGCTAGCAGGACTTATTATCCAATTACACCACGAAGACACGCAGAAAGGAGGGAGAAAATAACTTATATACTCCCTTTTCTAAAAGGTGAGGGGGATGGTGGAATCTAATAACCAAATCCTGGTGTTGACAAAATATCATCCACCACTTTTTAGTTTAGGTGCAACTTCTAGAGATCTTTTAGAATTTTTCGAATCCAGGAAACGTGAGAACTGTGCAATGCCTCCCCCCCCCCCCCCGGAATTCGGTCACCGGACCTTCCGGCTGCTAGCCGGAAATGCTATCTAGTTACACTTAAGGAACGCAGAAAGAAGCGTGGTTAATATATACCTTATAAATAAATTAACCGATATTATAGAAGTTTCTCATTTGTATGTCGACGCAAAAGAGCGGACAAAAATGGCGCATAAACGAGAAAGATAAATAACTGTAAATTAGCCCAAATTCAAGCCGAAATTAAGTTTGAAATTAGCATGATATTCCGAATAAGAGAATAACATAGATACTAAGCAAATATCAAAAAAATCGCATTTACAAAGTGAAATTTAACACTTTAAAGCTTAAATAAATCAAAATTCACAAGATTTTAATTATATGCATCCTTTTAGAAGTAGTTTTAAAAAAAAATTTCCTTCTTTTCTTTTGCTCGAAACACCATTTTCAAGTTTGTTGATACAGCAATGTGTAGCACGAGATGCATCAATAAGATGAACTTAGTAATGGAGAGTTTCCAGAGATTTCACTGCTTTTATGAAAGTTGAAGTACGTAGTTCTAATTAAGTTAGCTTCAATGTCTGCTTTTCCATATTTTTCAGGGGGGGGGTGCTGTTATCATTTTCATTATCATTCAGAATTTCAGTGAATATTTCTTGACCCTTTTTTCAATTCCTTCTCGCACTGCCTTTTTTTTCTATTTTTTAGGTCTGTACGATGTTGAATATGCTGGAAAATTACTACTGGAGGTACAACTCCGCTTCGGAATTGGTAAACGCAATTCTTCAGTATATAGATACCCGAGCAGCTCAGTTGTTCAGTCGAAAAGAATTCTTAGACCTTTCTGAATCAATGTTCCAAATGATATTAGGTAGAGAACTGAATATTTCTGAAGTTTCTAAATTCCAGGTTATGTTACAATGGGCTAATAACAAAATCGAATCATCGAGTAAAGTAGGTAATAACCTGTTCACTTATTAATTTACTTGATACATGTAATATTACACTTACTTGCTCATGTTTTAATTGAAATTACCAAAATTACTTAGATGTTTTGCATTCTGTCCGTACAACCGGTCTCTAAAGTGCAATACAAGCTTTAAGAGAGACATAATAGTCTCTTGTGTAGATATCAGATATGATAAGTATTTACTGTAATTCATTTTTTATTGTATTCTTATCATCTTTTACTTTTTCTCACTGCTTTTGCTCATCATATGATATACAGATTTGAAGAAAATATATATATGATATACAGATTTGTAGATATCAGATATGATAAGTATTTACTGTAATTCATTTTTATTGTATTCTTATCATTTTTTACTTTTTCTCACTGCCTTTGTTCATCATATGATATACAGATTTGAAGAAAATATACATATGATATACAGATTTGTAGATATCAGATATGATAAGTATTTACTGTAATTCATTTTTTATTGTATTCTTATCATCTTTTACTTTTTCTCACTGCTTTTGCTCATCATATGATATACAGATTTGAAGAAAAGAAAACCGAGGATTTTACTGTGGAGTAAAGAATCGTCCTAAAAATCTAAAATGAATTTTTTCATACTTATTAATAATTCGAACTTTATAAGAATTACTGATTTAGTCTCTAAGTTATTTATATGATAATAAAAAGAGAGGACGCGAAGATCTGATTTGAAAGGAGCGATGCAAATATTAGACAAGATTCAGTTTAAAATGGAATTGTGTCTTTCTCGAAATAAGACTAATGTGATCTCACCGATACTAAAATATGTGTACATTTAATTGAATTGTAATTTAATTTCACTGATTCATAACTTTTCTTTTAGTCATATTTCCTCATCTGAATTTGGTAAACAAATCAAGGAATTATATAAAATAATTTAAAATGAAATTTTAAATTCGATTATTATTTCACAAAATATTATACAGTAAAGAAAAGGTACAATATCACACGTCAATACATCAATTCTCATAAATCTGTAAACTTATGAAACTTTAGTCAGATTTCTTATCTGAATTTGGTAAACAAATTATATATAATAATTTAAACTGAAATTTTAAATTAGATTATTATTTCACAAAATATTATACAGTGAAGAAAAAGTGCAATGTCACACATCAGTTCTCATAAACCTGTAAACTTATGAAATTCTCTATAATATAGCATAAACTTTCGTGCAGATCGAAAATGATGAAGATCAAATCTTTATATTATTTTGTAAGAATATGCACTTCATATTATATGATATTTTGTGTCATTAGATACTTAAAAGTGTAAGTTAACAATAGAATAACTCTCTTAATATGAAGCAAATGAGGAAATTAATTCAAATGGAAAAAAGACAAATACCAAATATAAATGAAAATCTCCATTGTTAACAGAAGTTGCCTATCACTCGCTGTCTCACTTGGAGAAGAGGCAAAACATGACATACAAATAACCATTCTCACTCCTGAGCCTACAGATTCAACATTATATTATACAGTGATATAAGGTTCAAACATTATCACTCGCTATCTCACTAGGAGAAGAGGCAAAACATGACATACAAATAACCATTCTCACTCCTGAGCCTACAGATTCAACATTATATTATACAGTGATATAAGGTTCAAACATTATCACTCGCTGTCTCACTGGGAGAAGAGGCAAAACATGACATACAAATAACCATTCTCACTCCTGAGCCTACAGATTCAACATTATATTATACAGTGATATAAGATTCAAACATTATCACTCGCTGTCTCACTTGGAGAAGAGGCAAAACATGACATACAAATAACCATTCTCACTCCTAAGTCTACAGCTTCAACATTATATTATACAGTGATATAAGGTTCAAACATTTCCTTCAAAATTTGGAATATCAAAAACAATAAAAAAATTATCTGTTAATAATTTCCACTATAAGATTAGAAACTGTGCACCCCACCTCTCCGTCACCTGTCAGATGTATAAAAATACAGGAAATGAAACTAAGAAGAGAAAAGTTGAACAAAACCTGCAGTTTTATGGAACGTCACTGCCCTGGGCTAACCAAGTCACTTATCGTGGGGATCAATGATCCTCACAAATTTTCTCACATGTTCCCCCACATATACACTCTATTATTCAGAAGTTCCGGATTCGTAAAGCTAAACTCAACTCCTTAATTGCCCGAAACAGCGTTCTATCTATAGATAAAAAGTTCATTTATAAGTTCATACTGCATCCCATGCTCTGTTACGCTTGCCTAGTCTGGGCGTATTCATGTAAAACTCTACGCAAAAAACTGCAAACTGCCCCGAACGTTGCTCTGCAGCAAATTACAAACGCATCATACTATATTAGAAACAATGCAATTCATGCGCAACTGGGCATAATTCCACTGAAAAGTTTTTACTACCACCTGGTCAGACAGTTTCACATTCGTTTACGTACTGTAAGTAACTCTGAAATCAGAATTCATAACTACGATTTTAAAAACGATACTAATAAAAAAACAGGCCAAAGTGCATTCTCAATCCAAATGTAATCGTGGAAGTCTGATTTTTATATTTACTTTGTCATGTTATTCGGTATTCTTTTGTTTTTATTTATGTATATTTATATCTTTTGTGTATCGTATGCATTTGTTCACCGGTTGAGACCTATTGATTCAAAATTACCTTGATAACATAGATTCAGTTAGGCAGCTTTGAGGCTTGAATTTATAGTGCGTAAATCTTTTCAAAATTTAAATTTTAAAAAAATTACTATATATCAAATAAGAGGCACCCAGGTGTATCAAACACCGTTCCACAGGAAAGGATATGAAGCAAGATAAATAAATGTGGATGAAAATTGTAGATGAATGTGAATCTATGAATATTCGTAAATAATTACATGTTTGAAAAGTGAACAAAAAGAATGTGTCATGTGCATATGAAATTGTAAAAGCAAAGAACTGAAGCAATTCTGTTTTATCACGATGTTTAATACAATCGACTAAATGTGGCAATATTTCAAAATAATTCCTTCACAAAAGGCATTTTTAAAACTTTTTCTAAGAATTACTGATGGAAAAATGAAATAAAGTGCAGGTATTAATTACAACGCAAAAAGTAACTCGCGACAAATTCCCGGATATTGAAAAACATGCTGAGGAACAAGCACAAAAAATGGAAATTCCATTACCAGAAAGTTCGAATCCCGCGAACGGGCTGGCTGCGTGGGCGTTTTCGTGGTTTTCCCCATGTGTAACGTGTATACGAGCCAGTTTCCCTTAGAAAGTCCTCCACGAAGGCATCCTCCCTTTAGGCAGATAGCCCTCGTGTGCTTTGCCATAATTAAATAATCCAATCCATTATAAAAGCATACATGTGCTAAGACACAATGAATGGCAAACTAATTAGAAGTAGTCTTCAGAAAACATTACTAAAACGTATAGATTGGTTCAATACCAATGTGATGTGTTGACATTTTGCTAATAAGTGGAAGTAAATTAATGAAAAAGGTACAATTAAATCTTAAAAACAGTAAAAAAAAATAGTTTGAAATACTCAGTGGAAACAAAATTTAATTTCTTCATGAAAATTACTTGGTGGGAAATGGATATGAAAACAAGTTCTGGAACTAGGAATTTTTGTGTAATACGACTTGGAATCATTCTGTGGATTGCAAAGGGAACTAAACAGATAAAATGTAAATATACGGCTCTAAAGTAATCACAGTTAATAAAGTAACAAATGAAGATCTTTAAAATACTATTTTAAGAAAATAACTAGTGAAATACATCATAAATACTGGAAAAAAAAAAAGTGAACATAATTTTTTTTACCTGACATGCGGCAAGCTGTTTGGTCAAACAATGAGAAACTATTTAGTAGTTAAGCGTTGTACTGAACAATTAGCGTTACAGTTAAGTGTGGTGAAGTGAGCCTCCCTGATGGGTAAAGTAGCTACGGATGTTGGCTGCCGTACCGATGGGGTCGAATTCCTGACAGGCCATGTATATTCAAAAATATATGATGTCTCTGCGGCATGCTAGAACTTAAAATATTTGCGAGCCGAACGCCCCTTCAAGTTGTCTGGTAGTAGTGGAAGAGGGATGGAAGACATTCGGATCCGTCACCCCAGGATGTTCTTCATGAAAATTGGCCGAAGCTGCACAGTTAGTGCAGTGTGGACTATACCTGTACGTCCCGATGATGAAATTCTGATGTCCCACCCACTTCTACTTGTGTATGTACCTGTGGTGATATGAAGTAATAAATCTAGAACAGTTAAATTCATTTGAATTTGTTGCAATTTAAGTGAAGGTATAACATAATAAATTTAAGTTTAAATACTAGTAGGAAAAGGAAATCAGATTTGCTATGTTGAGCTGAAATTAATTCTGCCTTTTCGAGTTTAGGAAAAGAAACTGGTCCTTCATTAGTAAAAGAATACAGATATGAGCTCATTCATCACTTATCTTTAAAAAATAAACTAAATTCAAATTAATCATGCGACTTTACGTAACGCTTAATGCAGATATTGGTTTAATCCTAGTATCCGGTTCACACGGGATTTGGCTATTTTTGGCGACTTTATGATGAGCAGTAAAAACGAGACATATACGATGAGTAGTTAACGGGTCATTCAAAGAAAATATGTAGTTAAACATAGTATATACTATGTATATAGTATATATACTATGTGTGTATAGTATATATAGAGAGACGTTCTTTGGATCATTTTTGGTGTTGGCGATAATTTTCAAAGTCGCGCCAAGGCTGCAGTGTATACTAGGATTTTACCCAGATATCTCTTGCCCAATCAAAGTAATTGTAATCCAAAACTTTTTGGCTGCCTCTCTTCTTCCTCTGCATTACTATTGCGACACTCTTCCCTTTTTGCTTTCATCCTGTTAAGATGCTGCTGCAATCATCTATGTTCGCTTCTATCGCTATAGCAACAAAATTGTTCTGGAAATAGGCACGATTGGAGTGCTAATTGAATTGTGGCCACAAATGTGAATTTAAATAAAAGAGAAAGGAATTTAATCCGGCTCGACTCGTTCCTCTTCAATACGAGTCAACGTTTTAAATACCAAGTATCTTCGCAATCAGCATTTCTACGCATCTACATCTCAGTGTTCTTACATAAGTGCTTCCAAAATTGTGCTTTTATTGCATTCTTAGTCGTACAGGATTGAATTAACTAACCTCAATGGAACATTTATTCCTCAGTTGGATTTCCGCAAAAAGTAAAGTCAAATAAGTGTCTTCGTTCATCTGCGATTTCATCATTCTAAAAGTTAAATATCATCCAGTATTCAAATATGGTGTTCTATCATTACATATATATGCTTACATAAGCTATGCGAATACGTATCTGTCTCAACGAATACTTATTTGTCTAACCCACAATGCAAATGTGGAAGAGAATATTTTCCCTAATGTCAACTCAATGCACGAATGAAAGAAACAGGTTGTCAGTGGAGGCAACTGAAGCATTTTAGATTTGTCACTGTAATTTTAAATTAATCTTAGCCCAGTTTTACAATTATGTAAAAGAAGAAAATGATTTAATTGAGAAAGTAAAATCAACTTTAAAGTATGACTCTGCTAAAAAGGATAAGAATTACATCTTTTTTATTATTCTACATTGGTCAATCGGATTCTTTTCTTATTAATTTTCAACTGTGAAAATAGATACAAGCTAGTTTTCCTTAGAACGACATCGACGGAGAAATTCCTCCCCTTAGGCAGATAACCCTACCGTGCTTTGCCATAATTAAATAAACTAAAACAAATTCAACAGTGAAAAAAGCTCTTCATATATAAATGTTAACAAACAAAGCGATTATTCTTAAAGCAAAAATTCGTAATTGAGTTTATTTATTTTTTTGATAAGTACCCATAAAAGTTAATGATATCTGCCTTTACGTCTTTTAAGATTTATATCACACCTATAAATTAATTAGCTCTGCTTATATGTTTTCTGGTGGACTATTCATGTTAATTTTTAATGGTAATGAAAATAATGTGAAGTAAGGCTTCAAATAACTAAAATCTTGAAATCTTTGTAGCATCGTGCTTGCAACAAATACATAACTGAAATGTATTCGCAAGCCATCAGTTTGAGACTACTGAGTTGAATATTATTGTATAAAATTTCCACATCTAGAATGAAGAAACATCATTTAACTTATTAACATCATTTAAATAAGTGTCTTTGTTTATCTTATTTAAATAAGTGTTTCGTTTAAATAAGCGTCTTCGTCAATATAACTCGCTTCTTTTTCACTAACATTCCATTCACACTAATTCTTCATAAATAACTGTAAACTTATTTAAGTCATTATAACCACGGACTTACTACCAAGATAAAGATTTTGCATACAGAGGGTAAAGGATATTTAGCTTTAAATATTTTATTTTACAAGCTAAATCTCATAACAGAATACAGAACCAAAACCGTAACATGATAGAAGAAAGCACTAGAATATTAATCACCCTTGTCATTCACCTGTATATAAATAACTGCATAAATAAAAATTCTCTCAACACTGGAAACACATGTGCATAATTAATTACATGGTGCAAAATTATTACCCTTTTGGTACTTACGTATTAACGCAACCAGGCCAAAATTCGCATAAATCGCCAAATTTGGCAACCCTACGTGTTATACGTAGTTTTTCGTAAAGAAATTATTTTTCTTACGGGTTAGATTGAATGCCCTGAAATACTTTAACTATGGGTATTTGGGATCTGCCTGCGAGTGAAAAAGATGCTGTTGAATTGTTGCAGGGATATGGAATTATACCAAAGAACGTACTTGTAAAAATTCTCATAAAATGAAACTGTATTTTGGAAAGCAAATCTTCTGGAAATGTAACGTCGAAGAGTGCAATCAACATTTGGGTGTGAGAACCGGAAATTGGTTTGAAGGTAGCCGAATTTCATTTGTGACAGCGGTGAGCTTCATTTATTGTTGGTGTAAAGTCTTCATTTATTGTTGGTGAGTTAACCTCAATTAAATTTTGTGCAGAAGAGATGGAAATTGCTGACAAAACTTATCCTTAACTATACCTTATCGAATTTATATGGCGCCAAGCTCAAGCTGTTAATGGCGAAGACGGTTTTCAATCAGTGCTGAAAGCAATAGCCAAAAGATTTCCGCCGAAAAAATAATTCTGCAACTTATTCAAATTCGAAACCGGAAGGGTTTAATTGCTATTTTATATTTTAAAACAAAATAATATAAAAAACTGTATTAAAAATTATCTGTAATTAATAAATGTACATTTTCTTTCTATTCATACTTTTTTACTCAAACTTACAAATCGCGCCAACCTGGTTGCGATAATAGCAAGTACCGTCCTTTCTTTAACAACTGAATACGATACATACAGAAATCACGATTTGTTATTAGATGTGATTCGTTTCTCAAGATGTGTATGGTTATTATTGGCTTAAATTTCTTTGGTTACTTCTGAAGAAAATTATATTCTGATTGAAAGAATAAATGTATTTGTTCCTTGTATTTTGGCATAACACTTCAAATACAATAAGATTCTTTTTTTAATCTCATTTCAAACAAAGAACTCCTTTTATGTTTTAATCAGTAATTAGAATTAATGTTACCCGGTAAAAGTATATTTTAGGGTACCACTTGGCGATTTTTCACGGTACATGGATACTGAGTTTGTGCAATGTTTGTTATTTTGGCCTGCGTAGCGGCGAGTTTTGGCGAAAAAATTGCCGCTACGCAAGCCAAAATAGCAAGTGAAAGAATTGCACAAACTCGGTATCCATGTACACATCGACATATTTTCACTTTAAAAAAAATCCCCGAATTGCACAAAAAATGGTATTGTGCACTCCCTTGATTTTATCCATGTACACATGGACCTATATTCACTTAAAAAAAATCCTCGAATTGCACAAACACTATGCTTTACGCACTCCCTTGAATTTTTCCATGTACGCATCGATATATTTTCACTTAGAAAGTTAAAGGAGCACCCAAATCTACTGTAGAGGCTAAAAAAAATGCATATCTCAATAAACTACATTTTAAACCAAACAATAAAATAACACAAAAAAGGAAAAACCTCTTATGTATTTTAGCAGTACACAAAGTAAAAATTCTCTTACCTTATTTAGAAATTCGTTCGTCTTCAGTCTGTGGCACACAAAATTCCTTAACAGTATCCAAAAACTTTCTAAAAGTATCCGTATATCGGCGTGCGTCGCCACAGATATTCACAAAAATAAAAAAGAATCAAAAATATACTACGTAGTTCCGGACTATGGCTACTAAGTAAACCTTCATTTACACAATTAATTCACTCAATTAATGCACTTTTCCCCTTTCGTTCCAAATCGTTAAACAATGAAACAAGCAATGTACTTCCTAAGCAACACACACCACAAAAGCCTTTGCAAAACATCCCATAATTCAAAATTTCTCAGAATAATGCAAACGATTACGCCATAATAGGGTTTCCATAACATTCAACTACTCAGGTTACCATAAATGATACAACAACTTGGCGATAAACGAAACAACAACTTGGAGATAAATGAAACAAAACTTCGCGATAATACAAGGAGTACCTTAAAGTCCTGTTACCCTAATTATGGCTTTTATCCCAAGAAAGTTCTGCTGTTCATAAACAGTAATTCATATTAGTTCCTTATGCTATCCCCATACGTGTATATATAAGATAGTGAAGGTTAAGTCAGAGATATGGCTGCACATTTGAAGTAAATGCAGTGTGTTACTGTATACTGTACAGGTAAATGGTGAATGGTATTTTAAACCTGAAATTTAGTTTTTTAATCTCAAATAAGAATTGCGTACCCAAGTTCGCATCTTTATCCGCAATAGTGCTGAAAACAAAATAGGAAATTGCAACTGCAACATGGGCATCTGCAATTGCAGTCGTTTGCAGTACAACTTAACTTACCATTTTCTAGAATGGATCACGACGATGATCTGGCTTATAACTAATCATTGCCCAGAATGATCATGAGGCCATGAGATTCTAAAGACATTATTTTAATGCAGCATTATTGTTGACTAGGAAAAGTAGAGGAAACTACTACTTACATCAGGAATTCAGAAAAGAAAACTTCCTGAAATAACTTGAAGCTAATGCAGTGATATCAGTAAGAATTGGAAATGTTCTAAATGGGGAGCAGTTTGAGGCTATACAGTAAGTCTGTTTAATGTTGTTCCGTATTTTCTTTGACTGTCATTAATACTGTCATTACTGGTCATAATACTGTCATTACACAGTGCAATCAAACATACAGCCATATCTCTGAGCCTTTCTATATGTCTGTATGTATATAGGTGAGAGACAGATACTCGGGATACCCAACTCGGGTCCACAAGACAGAACTATTTCAGAAATTCATAGTATGAACATGATAAAATATTATTAATAAAATAAAATAAACTGTTGTCATAAAAAAGTCCAGAAATTTGTGGTTAGAAGAAATTCATATTTTCTAAAACTTTAACAGAAGAAAAAAATTCTCTCCACAGAAATTGATCTAAGAAGAAATAATTATTTAAGCAACAATTAATCTAGAAAAAGTCAGTCGGTCAAACACAGTTGTTTCATTCTATACCAATTCATTGAGAGCGTTGTAGAATTTATTGTATGTATCAATTTACAGTGTGTATGTATCTATACACATGTAATATTTATGCACATATATATGCATCAAAACATGCATTCACACAAATACATACACAAATGACTACAGAAGTTAAACAGATAATTTTAAATTTAGATCAATATCCACAAATTTTAAATGTTTATATAATATGAATAATAATGTGCATATTATGATGAATAAAAGCAAAAATATTCTTCGCAAAATATGTCATTTCCTAACACGTTTTTTCTCCCAACAGATCCCAGGGAGCTGAATTGTACTATGAACAGATTAACAAGAGATTTGAAGCTATACAAAATCCCTCCACAAGAGTTAATCAGGGTATGATTGATTATATAAACCGTTTTCAATGGATTTGAATGCATAAACTTCAAAACCGTGCGTAACGTAACTGCAGTATAAAAATTTTATTAAAACAGACGTATAGATCATAAAATGCCTGGAGTTTCTTTCCTAAAATATGATAATCTTACTTAAAATGCTTCTTGCTCTTTTATTTTTCTAATCATCCAAAGATCTGCCTGAATCCAACAAAACATCCAACAGAAAGGCGTAAAAGTACTGGGACAAATACTGCTCACTGTAAATAAATATACGGCTTATACAATTGAAGGATAAAAGTTTTACTAATATACCCTTAAAAATATTACAAATGCACTCATTAGTTTTCAAGAATATGGTTGTATAATAAAATGGGTTCAATTGGATTATTTGGATTAAAAACACCAGACTAGGGATATCTCGTTAACAGAAGATATGCCTTTGTGGAGAAAGTGTCAAGGAAAGTAGACTTGTATTCATAATACACATCTCTTATGCAGTCTGAATGTTAGCCGAATTTGAATTCGAATCGAACTATCAGTGCTCAACAGTGTTACCATTTGGTCGCAGGTGAGACAAGGTAAAACAACTAGTTAAAACATTAAACAACTAGATAAAACAAGTTAAAACATTTTGCAGGACTGTTCTTAACAGTTTACTTTCAATATAATTTCAAATGAGTTTGTAGAGATATTAGGATTTTTTTTTTTTTTTTTTTTTTTTTTTTTTTTTTTTTTTTTTTTTTTTTTGAAGCAGGCAAGATGAAAAATAGCAAACGCCTTCGCCAGAATCGAACCGTGGACCTCTGGAATACCGGCCCAGCGTGCAGAACCACTACACCACGAAGGCACGCTAGGAAAGCAGGAGAAATACCTTACGTACTTCCCTTTTTAAAGTGGGACTGGGGTTTTTACGGGACCCAATAGCCAAATCCTGGGTGTGGAGAAATCTCATCCAACACCCTTTTAGTTCTGGCGCCACTGTAGAGACATTAGGATTTTTTTTTGGGGGGGGGGGGAAGCAGGCAAGATGAAAAATAGCAAACACCTTCGCCGGGAATCGAACCACGGACCTCTGGAATACCGGCCCAGAGTGCAGAACCATTACACCACGAAGGCACGCTAGAAAAGCGGGAGAAATACCTCACAAGTTTAATGAACAGAAATTACATTTGGTAAAATAATCAACATATAGTTTCATATACCTTTAAAGAAATTATAAATGCACTTGCATTTTTGATACGTAAGACATCCCAGGGGAACAGGTCAGTCATACCAACTTTTTCATGGTTTTCCTCATGTGTAACATGGGAACAAACCATTTCCTTAAAAAAGTTTTCCACAGAGTCTTTTCTTCACTTAACCTGCACTTTCTTTGCCATAATCAAGCAAACCAAATATATAGTCCCATGTTCGAATTAGAAGTACCCATCCAGACTTAATGTGAATAAACTCCCATTTTTATAACTTTTTTTTTTTTTTTGTAGATACTTAGAATCTTTTTTACTGTAGCAATGGGATATTCTCATCTGTAGTTACTTTCCAACATAAAATCTTTATCGTCGTTATAAACAATGTTTACAAGTTACCCCTAAGTGTTTTCAATTAAATTATGGCCTGGTATTTTAAAAATCTGATACACAACAACGTTTCTCCATGAAGCGTTTGGTTTTGTTCATTGAATGTCATAAAGCATTCGCTTGTTGAAAGAGATATTCACTTCTGCCTAATAACAACCTAAATGTTATTAAATATTCACAGACCACGTACTGATAATCATATGACAGCGTACACTGACTGATTAAGGTAGCATTTCCCAACTCGGGTCCACAAGACAGAACTATTTCAGAAATTCATAGTATGAACATGATAAAATATTATTAATAAAATAAAATAAACTGTTGTCATAAAAAAGTCCAGAAATTTGTGGTTAGAAGAAATTCATATTTTCTAAAACTTTAACAGAAGAAAAAATTTCTCTCCACAGAAATTGATCTAAGAAGAAATAATTATTTAAGCAACAATTAATCTAGAAAAAGTCAGTCGGTCAAACACAGTTGTTTCATTCTATACCAATTCATTGAGAGCGTTGTAGAATTTATTGTATGTATTATTGGATATTATTGTTCTAGTGTTTCTGTAAGTACCTACAAGTAATGGAGTTTTCTGGGCTGAGCGGTGGTGCAGCTGAATTCCTTCTGTAAAATAAACTAAAAAATATTAATCTTAAGCAATTTTTTTAATTACAATATATATTTTTAGCTTTTATTTTATAATTCCCTTTTCAATATTCAACTTTTAACGCTTAAAGTTGAAGATAATTGCACAAATATTAAATATTAAGAATACTCTTACAAATCTTAGCCAAATATTAATATGCTAACATCAAAATATCAACCACAAGGATCTTAACAGCACAGCCGGCCTACGTATTTAATGGCATCCTATTTAATAGCCTTATAAGGTATTTCTTCCGCCTTCTTAACATGTCTTCGTGGTGCAGTGGTCAGCACACTCGGCGTGTATTCGAGAGGTCCGTGGTTCGAGTCCTGGCGAGGGCATTTCTCATTTCTTCAGTTTGCTCACATCGAAATAACCTAATGTCTCTACAGTGGCGCCCGAACTAAAAAAAGCTGTGGATGATGATTCTTTTACCACCAGGATTTGGCGATTGGGTCCTCTAATCCCCAGTCGCCCTTTAAAAGGCGGTATATAAGGTATTTCTCCCGCCTTCTTAGCATGCCTTCGCGGTGTAATGGTCAGCACAATTGGTGCATATTCGAGAGGTCCGTGATTCGAGTCCCGGGGCAAATATTGTCCATTTCTTCAGTTTCCTGACGTCGAAATAACCTAATGTCTCTACAGTGGCGCCCGAACTAAAAAAGGTGGTAGATGATGATTCTTCACCACCAGGATTTGGCGATTGGGTCCCTTAATCCGCAGGCGCCCTTTAAAAGGGGGTATATAAGGTATTTCTCCCGCTATCTTAGCATGCCTTCATGGTGTAGTGCAGCACAAACTGCGCATATTCGAGTCCCGGCGAGGGCACTGCACTTTTCATCAGTTTCCTGACATCGATATAACCTAATGTCTCTACAGCCTTAGGAATAAATTTGTTCATGTTTTGAAAACATTTTTGATATTACATTGGAACTGCTTAATTATTATCTTTTAACAACCTTAACTGTTTCATTTAGGAATTGTTTAACTGTTTAATTATTAACTTTTAGTGTCCTACAGATAAATATTTAGAAAGTGCATACGCTTATATGGGAACCATATGCTTAAATTTAGGAATTAGGTATACTTAGATTTAGAGGTCTTTAAGACAATATCAGGTCTACCATTTATTAAATGTAACCATACCATCTGTTCCTTCAACTTGTTCCAACATTCTATATTTTGAACCCCTCTTCCTTCAACCTGCTAAAACATTTTATTATTTTGAACAGAAATCATGGCAGTAATCTCTATTAACTAATTTTTCCCCTTTAAGCAACCAAACATTTCTTATTTATCTAATGACATCATTACAGGTGTTGTCATTTTAAACGCGAATCTTTTTTAGGGATGATACTTCCATCATTATAATGCATCCAATGTTTTTCTTTAGCCTTATAATATTAACTGAGCGAGTAATTAGTAATTACTCAGCACAGAGACACAATTTGGCTTGTTGACATATTTTTCTCTGTTGCTAGATAGACCACTGTAATTTCTTTTACTCACTGTTCACTTACTTCTAGTTCTTTTCTCTCTCCACACTTCTTTACATTAATTAATTTTGAAATCTCCCTTTAAGACTTTTTAACATGAAGATACTTACGGACTTTTCTAATTTCTGTCCGGTTACGTTCTGTGTCTCTTGAAATCTGAAAGTGGCAACGCACTAACAGGTAGTAAATAACTCAGCCTGTTTTCGGTTTCCTTGCAATAAATTAACGATGTAAACAAATATTTGAAACAACATCATTTACATGCTTTTTAAAAAAGTAGTTTTAAAAAAGTAAGCAAATGAAATGCAGATCATTCTTTGTTTATTACAAAATTCGGAACTTTTGAAAATTACTTTTTATTATCATCTACCCAAAGAACAACTGAAATATTAGTGTTTTATTTAAAATTTCTTTACAGAATATAAAGTTCTATTTTGCTACATCAAATATCCTCTACCTTGTCATATATTTATGTAAATTTCTTTTGAAATTAAAAAAATATCAGCGTTTACTTAAATAATCATTCATAATACTCTTAAATTATATTATCCCCTTGAAACATTAAATTACAATCAGCTATAATGTAAGAATTCAGATTCTTCACACTTAAGCACATTCATTAACGTGAAATGAATATAGAACAAAGTCTGAAATCTCTGGACGTCTAAAATCTGGTATAATCTAATATCCAAACCTCCAAACCACCAGCAATTTTTTTGCTGTTGTTTTATAATTTTTTTTTTTTTTTTTTTTTTTTTTTTTTCAGAGTTTAGGAATGGATAATAATAAGGTTGAAGAAAAGCAGGTGTGCCATAAAAGCTACTTTTTTCCTACGAGATTCCTGTTTGTCCCGTTTAAATACCAGTTGGCTAGGGTCTATAGTGGCCAACAACAACACATTAATCGATGTTAGCCACGACCACACTTCCGGCCCAGGGTGGTTCTGAAGGAGGGTTAACACTTTTCTTTCTAACAAACCAGGGCTTAATTTCTAAAATCAGAAACCCCGGAGCCCTATGTTACACCGTTAGGAAGGATGCACAAAAATTGGTATGAACAAAATAATAACTAAAACTCTAAATATAAAGAAATTAAAATTAAGTAAAATATAAAACAAATTATTGATTGCTATTAAATAAATTATAAGTAGATAAATAATCAGTTAAATAAGTAATAAATGTATTACAAAAATTAAGTGAGTCATGAAACTAATGTAACATGAGAAAATTAATAATACGGTAGGCTACAAAGGATAAAATATGAGAAAATAATGTAAATAATAAAT